TTGACTTGTTGTCCACTCAGCCCTTTCTTCTCTCAAGTCTTACCTCTTCTTTCAGACCTCAAATAAAATCCCACCTCCTCCAGAAAGTTCTCTCTGCCCATTTCAGCTTCCATTCATTTCAGTGGAGCCCCAAGGAGAGAATGACAGAAAAGTGGTCAGAAATACAGGATGGACACACACTTTCTCTCTCTTCTGTTCTAGCTTCTGTCTTTATATTTGCTCCATTTCTCTCTCCCTCATCTCAGAACTTCTAAAAATTAGCATTTGTACTACTCAGAGGTGTCCTGTTATATTAACTGTTGCTTTATATCTCTTCCCAACTACTTTACAAGACAAATGAGGGCAAAGACCACATCTCATCTTTTTTTTCTATAACACCTATACCACCTAGCACAATACTGAATACTTATAGAATAATTTTTGCTTTATTCACTTAATAAAGTTTCCCAATAGTGTGAGAGAAGTGCAGAGAAACCAAGTTTCTAAAATCTAGTGTGTTCTAGATACTAGTTTTCTAAGCTAAAAATATTTCACCAAAGGTAGACAGTCTGCAATATGAATCATGAAGGTAATTTTCTCAATCATGTGAGCAAAATTTAATTATCAGAATATTTTATAGTTGTGTTAATTCTCTGCTCTCTTTGGATTTCTAAACACGTGGGCTTATAGTTACAATAACCAATATAAGTTATATTTGCAGTACTGGAAAATTTTTATTTATCAATGTGAGTGAATGGTATTCTTTTTGTCTTAATCACTAAATGTATGTAACATAAATTTATGCTGAACTCAAGCCAAACTTCTGAAACTAGAACTCATTGATATTCAAAGGCTAAAAAACTCAAATGCTTTGTTCTTACAATAGTAAAATTATTTACTACCCTGGAAATGATAGTACAGGGCAAACAAAACTTGATTTCTTTTCTAAGGACAATATGACGGGGTTGGAATTTTTTAAAAAACTAATCTGAAGAAGTCACTGAATGTCAAACCTTGAGCATTTTCTGACAATCTACTCACTCCAGTCAGGAAAATAAACATAAAAGTTTTACATTGAAGCTTCATGAGAGCAAAGATGATATGGGTAGCTTGACTTTCAGCACTTTGGTGAGTGAGCAAGAAGCACTGTAAGTTTACAGCTAAAATGGACTCTTAAATTGAGGGAATAGATAAGAGAAGGGTTCTCTCCATGGGTGAAGCCAAGAGTATATGAACCATGATTGAGGTTGGTTGGTTGTCTATGATGAAAACCTCCTAAAAGCCATATTAATTTTTGTATTATTTGAACCTCTTTAACAGAAACTCAACTTGACAAAAAATAAGTTGGGAGTTGGGTTTTGTAGTGATTGAGGGGTTTCACAGAACCCCAAGGCAAGAATGCAATTGCAGTTCTGGAAGGAAGTGAAACCAGCAACTGACAGATGACAGAATCGAGGAAGTCCTCTTGGTCCATATCTGCTTCTCCTTTTTTCATCTCCTCTAGCCTTCTTTCTCTCTAAAGACTTCCTTTCTCTGGTCTTCAGTCCACAAAGTAGGCTGTGGTTGTAGGACATGTAAAGAGATAAACGTTACTCTGGAATTTACTTTTGAAATTCCTGGGGGAGAGCATAATTGACCCACTTAAATTACCAGAATTTGAACAATCAACTGTGGCCATGGAATAGATTATATACTGCAAATTTGGCTGCCTGGTGACTGCTTCTGTGGTTTTTCTTGTAACAGGATTTTAAATATAATGTTGAAATGCTCAATTTTGTGACCTGCTATAAATTTCTTCTGGGCAAGGGAATAACTAAGTGTACAAAATAAACTTAAAGTGACAGTAGATGAGAAAAACAAATTTGTTTCATAATTACTTCTTTGAGTCATCCTTGTTCAAAATTAAAGTTATATTTTGGATAGGAGACTGTGAAATGTAAAATTTCTATAAAAGAAGAGTCATTATGAGTTTGGCAGATACTCCAGAAATAGATGTCTATTGGAAGTGCAATTTGGATATAGCTTGCAGTTAAAATTTATGCCTTCAGAAAATGCAGTTACAAAAGTCATGAAAATATGTTGAAATGAAAGCTAGCATTGTCATATTACAAGAAAACAAAAATAATTGAATCTCAGTCTCAAAAACCAAATTATATGCAAATTAATATTAGGTTAAAATGCATTATGCAAATTTTATGGCATCATATACAGAAGATTAGGAAGACCACAGCATTTGGTAATTTCTAGGTTGTGTGATGATAGGTAATTTTTGTTTATTTTATATGTTATTTTTGGAGCTATTATTAGTGAAAATATGTTGCTTTTATATAAAAATTTTAAAAGATTATTTTTATAAAAAGAATACTCCTGCAGTAAGAACATCACCATATTAGTGGACACAGTGGTTTGATCAGCTGATGCTACATTAGTAATGTGTAAATAGAAAAGGATAACATATTAGATTACTATACTGGACAAAAGCAATGCTGAAGAACATCTGTTCCTTTTGCATAAACTTTGTATACATCTCCATTATTTGGATTTTCCTTAATTTCTCTCTACAATGTTTTGTAATTTTTTGTGTAGAGGTCTTTCATGCTTTTGTTTAATCTATTTCTAAGTATGTTATATTTTTCTAATTGCTATGATAAATGGAACTTTTTTATTTTCCACCTGTTTGGTGGTAACACATAAAGAACAATTTATTTTAGATCATTGACCATGTATCCTGTAACATTGTTAAATTTGCTTATTCATTCTAGTGTTTGCTTATAGGTTCCTTAGAATTTTCTACACAAGCAAACATTATGCTCTTTATTTCATTGTCTTGCCCTATTCCACTAGCTAGGAATTCTGTTAGAACTTTAAGAGGGGGTACATCTTTGCCCTGTGCCCAGTCTTGAAGGGAATACGGCTAGTCTTTCACCAGTGAACGTTGTATTAACTATAAGTTTTCATAGATATCCTTCATTAGCTCAAAGAAGTTTCCTTTTATTTCTAGCTTGCTTAGAGTTTGGATGAATTTTTGTCAAGTGCTTTTTATACATCTATTGAGAAGATCCTATGGTTTTGCTCCTTTATTCTGTCAATACAATGAGTTATCTTGGTTGACTTTTGAATATGAAACTAACCTTACATTTCTGGAATAAAATCTACTTTGCCATTGTGTATCATTCTTTTAATATATTGCTAGATTTAATTTGGTGATATTGTGTTAAACAGTTTTGTATCTATGGTTTTGAAGGGTCCTGCTTTGTAATTTTCTTTTTTAGAAAAATAAAACACATTTTGCTTAGATTGAAATATATTGTACAAAATTTCTTTTTCTCACCAAAAATAACAGCAGTAATTTTTGTAATATTCTCATATGAACAATAAAATTTATATTTTCCCAGATAAATGTTACAAATCAAGGTAGTGCATATGGTCATAGAAAGAAAACATTCAGATAGGTTGTCAGTATCCGAGGCCTCTGATTCTCTTTTGACCATGAAAGAGAAGTTAGTTCAATGTGTACCTGCCAGAAAGCTTATGAGTCAGTTAAGGTGTAAGCTCAACAAATGAATGTAAACAACCAGATGTGGAACACCTTTGGATTGTTTTCTATTCAAACTTCAATTTTCTCTTTCTAGTCATTTAAAGGAAACAGTGAAATTTCTGTTTGGTAAGGTCATAGTTCCTTCTGATTATTGGTAATTTCCTTAACTGCACATTACGGATTTTTAACAACACACAAAAACACCTACTAGTCAATGGTCAATCCTATGCTTTATTGTCATATTTTACAAAATATATTAATTCTCCCAACATTTACTTTTTCAAAGAACTGATAACTTAATACCTGATAATTAGATTTGTGGCATTATGTTCAAAGTGACTTAAATATCCCCAGAGTGCCAACAACGGAAATGAAATATTCTTTTAATGCTGTTTTCTGAAGACAGGACTTCAAAGAATAAAAGTTCAAACAGGGCCTATTTAACAGTAAATTATCAGTGTTTAATGCATTCAGTGAAAGGCCCATAGGCAAATATTTAGTGATTAAGTGGTTGACATAAACCTTACAGTTTTTCCTCCAAATATCAAATATAAAAAGAAAACCTATTTTTAAACATTCTCTCAGGTATTTTCAGTGGTTTCTGAAGTGCTTATAGGAAGCTCTGACTTAAACATATAATTTGATATATGGGTCTGCCATTAAATTAAGATCATGTTTCATAATAACGTTTATGTTAAGCTAAGTTAAGTTACTTGACATCTGGTCTGTTGAAGTGTTTCATAGTTATGTTTTGAGATGCTTTCATCCAATTTCATAGGTTTCATTTTCAAACTTCATCCAGGAAGAATACACAAGACCTTCAGTAATGCATAGACAATAAGAAAAAAAAAAAAACTTAAAGAGAGACAAATAGGGAGGAAGCATTATCCAAGGTGGATAAAAGCTCTATGTCTTTCCCTCTGTGTTTTGGCTTGATCCTCCAACAATGAAGGTTGGCAGAGAATGTGTCAAGACTGAAAAATCACTTCAGTACATGTTGACATGGTGTTGAGTGTGAGCTGTTCTATGCCTGAGGCTACCAGAGAACCGTTCAAGAACTGTTAAAGAATGTTTAAGAACTGTGAGGTACTGTTTTAAGAAAATGTCTTTAAAGTCCTAAATAATATGCTTCATTGTTGGAACACTAAGTATTTCCTTACAGTAATTTTCAACGATTAGTTGGGATTCTAGATTATCTTGCTGAGCTCTAAGGAATTTCCCAGGAAATTTCATTTCAACATCAAGTTTGGTCGCAAAACTCGTGGCTTCCTCAAATCAAAATTTATAATCAACATAAATATTTCCAATCTTTGTATACAATTCAACTTTGTAGTCAAGCTGCCTGCTGCAAAGAAGACATTGGAGATATGTTAATAAATTCAACAACTTAGAAGAAATGAACACATTTCCTGAAAATACAACTTACTACAACTGACACAGGATGAAATAAAAAATTTTTGACTGATCCCATATCTATTAAAGAAACTGAATTTGTTATCAAAATCTTCCCTTTGAACTCTGTTAGGTAAGAAAAGATCACAGTCTCACACACGTGCTTTCAGAAATAGAGGAGGAAGAAACACATCCCAGTATATTTTATAAGGCCAGCATGTCCCCAATACTAAATTTGACGAAGACATTTCAAAGAAAAATATTAAAACGCTAGTGAAGTTGGCCACATGGTTTGGCTTTCTTTCCCCACTACCAGCTGGCAGATAGGTCGCCCTAATTTGGGGCAGGGGAGAGTAGGATAGCTGGAGAGTGAGATTTTTTTCTAAAGGCTCTTTTTAAAAATAGGACACTTTTATGAACAACAATAATAATAAATCAATCAAAATGTTAATGCATTACAGAGAACAAAAGTGCAACCAGCTATAAAGTTATTCCATCTAACATATGTGTCATCTTTTATACCATCTAAAGACAAGTGCTTGCAAAAAAATTTCAAAAGCATCATGTCTGCCTGTACATTGAGAATAGCAAATTCTCTTCAGTTCATTTGCGTTTTTTCATTGTTTTGAAAGAGGACAGAAATTATACTGTTGAGTTTTAAAGCAGTTGTGAGCAACAGAAAAAAAGAATAAACATTTTTAATTGCTCCCAAAGCAATAGATACTCCCACGACAGACAACTGGGATTTTGACAAATACATATATAAGGCAGAACATGAGCAAAGATGTAAATATCTTGGGTTATTTCTCTCAAAGTCTAGTTACCATGACTTTCATTTTGGAAGAAAGTCCAGTAGACATCATCTAAGCCAGATCACACCAGCATTTCCTGTTCATTCCCCACTTTTTAGTTATTGTAGTGTGAAATTTCACAGCCATACTTTCTGCGTCAGCTTCAGAAGGCAGGAATCCAACGTTACTCTCAAGTTCTTGAGATTCATTGATGAGCCTCATCATTACTGGTGATTATTCTCCCTCTGCTGTGTCCACCATATCGTCAGTGACAGTGGAGGTGAAGTGAATCTCTCACTTCCCCATCTCTTCCCATGCAGCTCTTGCAGATCTCTAGCACCTGTTTCCTCGGCGTTTTCAAACAGAATGATGTATTGTCGAAAAGCACTTTCTCTGACCTGCCTCACCAGTATCTGCCCTGCATTGCAGTGGTGCTCAAACTTTATCAGGAGAAAAGAGACCCTTGGGGATTTGGTCAGCCTCATGTTCATCCAAAGGTGTGTTTTGTAAGAACTAAGCTTCAAATAAAGACTTTATAAGTAATCTTTGTTTTCATTCTCTTCAAAGTTTAGGGGTAGAATGTCTTCATCTTGTTCTTCACTTTCTTTCTCGTGTTGGAGTTGTGAGTATTGCTATTATTTATTTATATGCTTATTTCTGTTCAGAAATTTTATCTTTTTTTTCGGTGTCCTGACTTTATTATCACTCAATTATTTTATTTATTTTCAATTTCTACCATGTGGACCGTTCAGATGAATAATAAAATTAGTTGCTGCTGGCATAGCGTAATCTCAAGGAACTCTCCTTTAAGTACTAGTTCTACAAATCACAGAGTTCTCAGTGTTTGGCAGTAATGTTTACTTAGCTGATCAGATATTTTATCTTCTGAGTGAGTTTTCCTACATTTCTTTACCCAGGTGAGGCTTCTGTCTATCTTGCAGGAACCTGAAGAAGGCCAGACTGGGCTTCATTATCTTCCATGTGCAGTTGGGAGCTGCATAAAAGTTTGATATTGTAGCCCACAGGCCAGCTATCCTACTCTCCCCTGCCCCAAATTAGGGCAGCCTATCTGCCAGCTGGTAGTGGGGAAAGAAAGCCAAACCATGTGGCCAACTTCACTAGTGTTTTAATATTTTTCTTTGAAATGTCTTCATCAAATTTAGTATTGGGGACATGCTGGCCTTATAAAATACACTGGGATGTGTTTCTTCCTCCTCTATTTCTGAAAGCACGTGTGTGAGACTGTGATCTTTTCTTACCTAATAGAGTTCAAAGGGAAGATTTTGATAACAAATTCAGTTTCTTTAATAGATATGGGATCAGTCAAAAATTTTTTATTTCATCTTGTGCCAATTTTAGTAAGTTGTATTTTCAGGAAATGTGTTCATTCCTTCTAAGTTGTTGAATTTATTAGCATATATTTGTTCATAATATCTGTAGGACTTATAATAAATGCATATATTTATTCCTGATATTAGTAATTTCTCTCATTTTTTTCATAATCAGTTTATTCAGGGCTTGTCATTTTCTTTTTCCCCCAAAACAACAAAAATGTTTTATACATATTTATGTTCTCTACAATTTGTCTGTTTTCCATTTCATTGATTTCTCCTCTTATCTTTATTATTTCCTTTCTTTTACTTACTTTGGATATACTTTGCTCTGGTTTCTCTAGGTCTTGCTGTGGAAACTAAGGTCATTGATTGTATACCTTTCTTGTTTCCTATCTCTAAGTATGTAAAATTCTCTCTAAGCATTACTTTAACTGTATCCCAGAAATTTTGCTGTTATATTTTCATTATTATGTGGTTTGAAATATTTCTAATGTGTCTTGTGACTTTTGCCTTTGGCCTATGAATTGATAAGCATGTTTTTTAATTTCCAAATATGTAGATTTTATCACCCCTAGATATCTTATTGTTCTTTGTTCCTAATTTAATTCCACTGTGGTCATAAAACATTGTATTATTTAAGTCCTTTTAAAATATATTGAGACTAGTTTTATGGCCCAGCATTTGGTTTATTTTGGTAAACATAACATGTGCATTTGAAAATAATGTTTATTCTGCAATTTTTGGGTATAGTGTTGTATAAATATCAATTAGGTAAAGGAGATTGATAGCATTATTCAAATCTTTTATCCATTCATTCTATCGATTGCTTAGAGTGTGTGGTTACAATCTCTACCTATCATTATGGATTTGTCTCTTTCTCTCTTTAATTATGTTACTTTTCAATTTCATGTATTTTGAGCCTCTTTCATTAGGCACATAGACATATACAATTCTTACGTCTTTTTGTAAATTTATCCTTTTATTATTATAGTATATCTGTCTTTATCTGGTAATACTCTTTGTCTTGGCATCTAGTACATCTAGTGTTATTAATAATATAACCACGCCACCTCCTTAAGCTTACTGTTTGCATGATAAATCTTCTACTATCATTTATTTTCAACATATATGTATTGCTATATTTAAAGTTCACCTTTTGTGGAGAAACTATATTGGGTCCTAATCTCTTATCATTTCTGAGAATTTCTGATTTCTAATTGGAGTGTTTAATTTATTTACATTTAATCCAACTGTTGATATGGTTGGGTTTAGACAAGCAATTTTAGTAGTGTTTTCTGTAGGTCCATGTGATTTTTGTTTGTTTTTTGACTCTCTGTTTCTACTTTCTTAATTTACTTTGATTTAATTGAATCTTTCTGAGAATTCCTTTTTAATAGATTTTGGCTTTTTAGTTATATCACTTTGTATTGATTCAAGTGGTTGCTCTTGGGATCACACTATACATCCTTAATTTCTCACAGTCTACTTAGATTTAATATTGAATCACTTTATATAAAGTGTGAGAATATTTCTGAAAATATTGATTCGTTTACTTCCTTCTTTTGTTTTTTAGTTGTCATATGAGCTTCATTTAAAAATGTTTTCAATCCCACAATACAATATGGGGTTTAAAACAAATATAAATTTTGCATTAAATAGTCATATTTATTTATAACAAATTGGGAGAACAATTTAGTGACATATTTAGTGACAATTTAGTGACATATTTAGTGACAATTTAGTGACATATTTATCATTTTGGGCACTTCATTTTTTTCTGAAGATTTGAGTATTCATCTGGCATTAATTCCTTCACCTGAAGAACTTCCTTTATATTTTTTTCTAATCTTTTATCTTTGTTTTTTAGACTAGATGCTTCCATCCTCAAATTTATTGACTCTTCTCACTTTACTGTTAGAGCCATCTTGCAAATTTTTTATTTTAAAAACTGTGTTTTTATCATTTTTGCATAGACAGCACACATACAGAACATTTCCATTATCTAAAAAGTTGTAATGGACTGCATTGATATAGGAGAACAGAGGAATATGAAAATTTATCAGTAAAATGTAGTATAATAACATATAAAAATAGTGTTATGTGCAAGGTATGGAAGCTCAACAGAGGTGATACTGCTTAATTGATATTACAAAGATCCAAAGGTGGGGGGTGATATTTAAGCTGAATTTTTAATGATTAGAAAGATTTGATCAGTCATCCTAGGTAGTATAAGCAACATGTTAATAAGTTATGAAGACTTAGATTAGAAAACTACAAGAAAATCCCTGACTCTCATATTTTTATTTTAGGCATCTGGATGAATGGCAATATCACTTATTGATTTGGGACTATAAAAGGAGCACATTTAACAAGTAAGTCTGGTTAGGCCATGTTGAATTTGAGATGCCTATTGGACACTTAAGGAAGTTGGATGTATAGTTCTTGAGCTTAGAAAAAGGAAGATTGAGGTGGAAATGCAGATCTGATGGCATAATATATTTTAGGTGGCTGTTAAATTTGTTAGCATGTTTGAGATGCCCCAGATGATACAGAATGAGAAGCAAAAGGAACTAGCATATCTTGATCATTTAATATATGTCAAACATTCTGTTAGGCACTTTACATATATTCAGGAAGAAAAATAATTACAATTGTATTTGGCACTGGAGAAACCTGGATTCGAATTCTTGTTCTACCTCTTTATTAACTGTGTGACCTTGAGTAAGTTACTTAATTTCTCTAAAGTATTTTTTTCATCTTTCAAAAAGGATAACAAGAAGACCTACCTCATGTGTTTTCATGAGAACGAAATAAAAAATTGGATCACCTAGCATATGGTAAGTCCCAAGTAAATGTAATTCACTATTTTCCTTATGATTGTTATCATTATTACTAATGCCATCTTATTTAGCCTTCATAAGAACCTTATGAAGTAGCTCCATTGTCTTCATGTAACTGAAAGGATTATGACTTGCCTAAGCTTTCAAGTTGACAAGCAGATGGTCCAGAGCCTGAATCAAGGTACTCTGATTTCTTTCCAGGGCTCCTTTCATAAAAGTGATCTGTGGTAGTAGTTTCTTACAGAAATTAGAAACAAATATTTAGTTAATTATATTTATGCAAGTATATAAAGGCTTTGTTGTTGGTGTTATTTAAATAAAAACAGAGAAATTCCAGACATGACTCCAAAGCAACTGCCTAATCAAATTTCAGTACATACAACATCTCTCTTTGCCAGGATAGTTAGTGGAATAAAAGTAGTATCTGTCTGTCAATAGATTTGATTACTTACTGCTTTTAGACAATTGAAAATAATAATCTCTGTTGTCAGAACATCAACTAGCAATTATGAAAATGTTCTTCCCTATTAAGTTTTAGACAGGTAATATATATTTGCTTTGAAATATCTTGCTAAGACTAAAGTCCTAATATATAAATATAGTGGAAGTAATTTGTGCCACCTACCAGTTTCAAAGGCTAGTTGATAAATGATTAGAAGTGTTTTATGTTTCTGGAACACAATGATTAATTAACATTTCAAATGCTGCCTTCTTTTTCCTTTCATGTTCTTGTCATAATGCCCTTAGCTGGTGATTTAGTAATAGTAAGCAGATCTTACCTTAAAAAATTACTTAGCTCCCTTATTTAAAACTTCAGGATATTTGTTCCAATGGAATTTTACTTATTTAGCAAACATTCATTGGTACCGTGTTGTATACCAAATAATGTTCAAAAGTGGGCACTCAAAACTGAAAAGGCATAGTCACTTTCTTTAATGAGTTCATATTCTATCAAACATAGCCTACACTGAAATAATTACAATAAGTTTTGTAATGAAGGGATGTCAAAGTTGCATATGGAGGTTAGCCTAGGCAGTATTCAAAGAAGAGGTTATATTTGAGTGTGATATTAGAAGTATATAAATTTTTAAAGGTAATTAGATTGAATACTTATGATTTACGTACTTCAATGTATTTATATAAAAATATAGATAATAAAATAAATTAGATATACATTTATCTAAAAAAGTATAAAGAGATATTGAACTCTAGTTAGTAGGTTTGCTTTACACAGGGGTATGAGTTGGCAATGCTGAAACATCATTCTGTGTATTCTAGACTTCATTTAAAAATATAGCTTGATAATAGATATTAAAATCTTGATATATAACATAAATATGTATCTCATATATACACACAATAATGAGAGTATGAGAGCTATATTTCCCACTGTTGAGAAGGGAGTTGCATTTGGAAATGGGTAAAATGGCAATGTACTTTGTAATGTTTCATTGCAATGGGAAATATCAGTATAACTCGTGGTTTTTAATAGTGAAACTGACTTCAATTTTTAAATTTTAAAAAATTTTCCAGAAAACTGGAAAGAAAACATAACTTCCACCATGATAAGAAAATACAGATAAACTGTAAAATTATAACTCTTTTTGAACCTATCAGAGAACTAAGAAGCCACCAAGAAGCCTGACATTTAAAGAAAGATAGGCCTTTGTAAGGATGTAAGACTGTCACACCTGAGTTAAAGCATGAGGCAAAGAGAAGTTAGATGCCATACAAGCAGAATAGTAAGAGAGAAAGAGTGGGGCAGACAAAATATTTGAAAAGCTAACAAAAATAATTAAAGACTTCAAAACACATATCCAAGAAGTACAGAGAACTCCAAGCAGGATAAATCTGAGAGGAAAAAAAATCTACCTAAACAAATAATATTCAAATTGTTGGAAGCCAAAGATAAAGAGAAAATCTTGAGAACAGCCCACGTAAGAATTGCAATAGATTTCTTGTGAGAGTGTGTGCAACCCAGAAGACAATAATGTGACATCTTTAAAGCACTGAAAGAAAAAAAACCCTATCAATTCAGAATTCTATATCTTTGAAAACTGAAGTCAAATAAATATTGTTTTGAACAAATAAAAGATAAAAGTATTATCAGCAGATCTGTGCTAGATGAAAAGTTAAATACTTTAGTAGAAGGAATATGATTCTGGAAACTTAGCTATACACAAATAAATGAAGATTATAGAAATGCTAAAAAGGAAGTAAATATAAAAGACATTTTTAAACTGATAATTTCTCTAAACGATAACTGAACGACTAGAACAAAAGTAGTAGCCATGTAGTGAGTGCTGGTACAATATTTAAATTTAAAATATATGAAAATAATAGCACAAAGGATGAAAAGGAGGACTTCGGAGTATATAGTTGTAAGTTGTGAGATCCTTAGACTATATGTGAAGCAGTTAGAAGGTAGACTGTGAATAATTAGAGATATATTTTAGCAAACCTAGGGCAGCCATTAGAAAACTATAAGAGATATAAAAAATAAGCAATAATAGAGATGAAATGAAGCCATGAAAGTACTTTATAAATGCAATAACAGAAAGTAAAAGAGGGGGGAAAGGAGCAAAGACTAGACAGAATAAACATAAAACAAATAACAAGATGGTAGATTTAAATTCAGCCATATCAATAATTACCTTAAATATTCCATTAATATGCAGAGGTTATCAGATTGATTTTTAAAAAGCAAGACCGATACTTACCTGATGGGGGAGATACCATGATTGTGAAGGTGGTTTTCCTAAGGCAAGGCTTGTCCATTGTGCTTTGGATGTGCTGACTCATGTGATGTCATGTGATGAAACTTGATTATGGAATTTTTGCTAATTGGAGACTGTATTCATGCTCTCCCCTGAGAGACAAAATTTTTTAAAAATGCAATGTCTGATTATATGCTGTCTAAAAAACAACCTCTCTATACATATAAAGGCAAAAATATGTTACAAGTGATAAACGGCATTACATAATGGTAAAAGGGTAAATTTATAAGAAGATATAAGGAGACATAAAAGACATAAATGTGTATGCAGCTAACAATAGAACTTCAAAATATATGAAGCAAAAACTGGAAGAGATAAAGGAAGAATTAGAATAATTGCCAATTATAGTTAAAAACTTCTGTGCTTCTCTTTCAGTAGTCAATAAAACAAGTAGACAAAATCAGTACGGATATATTGATAGAAGACATGAACAATATTATTAACCACCTTGACTTAATCAACATTTATAGAACATCCAACCCAATAACAGTAGAGTACACGTTATTTTCAAGTGCACATGGATCATTCACCAAGAAAGACCATACTCTCAGCTGTAAAACAAACCTCAATAAATTTAAATAGAATTAAATTATGTAAAGTGTCTTCTTTGACCACAACAGAATTAAAGTAGAAATCAATAACAAAAAGATATCTGGAAAAATCCCCAAAGATTTGGAAATTAAACAACATATTTTTAAGTAACAAGTGGGTCCAAAAATTCAAAATGGAAATTTGAAAATATTTTAAGTTTAATTATTATAAAATGAAAATATATCAACATATTAACATTTGTAAGCAAAAGCAGTGCTTAGAAGGAAATCTATAGCATTCGACAACTATATTAGAAAAGAAAAAAGCTCTCATTTTGATGACCTTAAATTATGCCCATAGTAAGTAAAAGAAGGGAAATAATAAGCATAGGAGGAAAAATCAATAAAATAGAAAAACAACAGAGAAAGTCAATGAAATCAAAGCTATGTTTTTGCTAAAATAACAAAAAAGATAAACTTTTAGCTGTACTGATTAAGATAAAAAAGAGAGAAGGCACAAATTGCCAATATTAGAAATAAAAGAGGGGTATTATCACAGACCCCATACATATTAAAAGGATAATAAAGGGATATTATGAGCAACTTTATGCAAATACATTAATTAAATAGCTTAGATGAAATAGACAAATTTCTTGAAAGACTCAAACTACCAAGATTCATTCAAGAAAAAACAGAAAACCTAGTCCTATATTTATTAAATAAATTGAATTTGTACTACATATCTTTTCATGAAGAAAACTCCAGGTCCAAATATCTTCACTGATAAATTCTACCCCAGTAAGGAAGAAATAATACAAATTCTACACAAACTCTTCCAGAAAATAGAAGAGAAAGGAACACTTCTCTGTTCTTTATCAGGCTAGATATATCCTGATAACAAATCAGACAAACATACTACAAGAAAAAAAATACAAACCAATATCCCTCCTAAACATAACTCCAAAATTGTAAAAAACTATTTGAAAATTAACTCCTTCAGTATGTTAAAATGATATATTTAATACATAATGTTGGGAAAATATGATTGAGGAATTAGTGAGATGTGGCTCATAAGACCATTATTTTATTGTATCGCCCTATATTACTATATTAAAGACAGAAACAGGAGTTTGCAGGATTTTGCCCTGTAGGAATGTGTGGATTCAGTGGTTCACTTATTAGAGGCTGCTATCATGGGAGAGCTCTCAAATCTCTGGTAGGGATGTTTTCCAGGAAGGCTTCTCGGTATCCCCCTGTGTCTTGAAAGACAAGACAAGGCAAATATGGCCCACAGGATGGGAGCTGGAGACAATGAGTGTACTTTGCCCAGAGATGCGCCCTGGTGGTTATAAACAACCTGTTTTATAGAGATGGGCTCCTTGCTTTCTCCTGTCTGTCTACCTTTAAGTCCAGCATAACTAATCAAATAAATATAGAGTCACTATACCTCTTTTGTTTTACTTTTGTTAATTGACAACTACCTTTAAAACTTAGAAGCTAGCCCCTAAAAGACCTGTTTGTTCACCTAGATAGATTAGAAGCCCCTTAAGAGGACTTTTGACCCTAACCCACTACTTGTATCCCTTAGCAACTGTATTCCCTGATATGCAAATATGTTACCCTGACAACTGGTAATTGATATCTGTGATTATAAAAACCTATATGAATCTAACCATATTGCTGGCGTTCA